TAAATTTCGAAAGGTTCAACAAGTTCGTCCAATAGTAAAGAAATAGAGAGACTTTTGAAGATTGATTTCAAATCCTATAGCAACATCTAGTAATTGTTGTGTGAACGTTAAAATTTATCTTAAATTATACACTTTGACTTTATATACATATTTAAATGTTACTTCCCCGTTACTATTTAGCAGTTCTTTCATCGTTATACTAATTAAACTGATTGGATTAAAATTGTACCAAAAATAATTTTCAAGCATATGATTCTCATATCCATTAATTAATTTCTCCTTCATTGTTTAACCTTGCCAAACCAATGATATTGATAACCTGTACTTTTATCCGAGTCAACTCTTCGACTCTATATGGTAAATAGAAGTGGGGTTTATGGAGGTTGGTGGCGGAATCAAATAATGAAGTAATTTTACAGTGACATAATTCGACAAAGGATGAACCATAATTCAACAACCATGGGCCATGCTAATATGTCGAATTTCCGCAATATATTTGGATATACTGCCTAAATATCGAGGAAATTCTAAAAGAAATTATTTACCCTCCATTCGACTATCTCGAGCGTTCCAGATTACTGACATGTCCCTCAATAATTCGGTGAGCTGGGCGACATAAATGGCACATTGAGAGCATAAATTGGTGAAGACCTGCATGTAAAAGCCCTCCTCCTAATAACAATGTCTAACATTGCACAGTAGTTCTGTTTCATGTATACCAATTACATTTTCATCAACTAATCACTCTAGTAGAACTGTAGAAGATACAAAATGATTTTGAACCCAACAATGAGAAGTTAGGACAGAAGATTATTCACACCTGTGGTGCAAATTATTTGACTAAAGCCTCTCAATAAAGTCCCCATGATTTACGAGGTTCTAAAGGCAGCTACTAACCCATTGGCTCGAGTTGAGTCGACCCATGTGCAAAGCTGGGCAAGCAATGGGTCGGTAGGGTAAGAATTGCATGGTTCAGGTGGGGGTATGAAAGACAGAAGAGTTTTAGGTCATCAAAATATAATATACAGAGTTCCTTCCAACTTGTAAACTTTTCATGCAGCTAAGTAACAACGTCCCCATAAATCAGAGGCTCCCTCCTGCAAGCTCCATCTAATTAACTTAGATACCATCATATGATGCACAATCTTTCGAAAACTAAATTTTTCTTTTTATATCTGTCAGACCATCTTATGCGCACCTTGACTAATCTCACGAAACAATCATCTGATACATTTAATTACCAAAGAAACTCTTAGGATATTAAATCTCAAGTGATTTGAACTCATTCCCTTTAAGTCATTTACCAATGACGACTAGGTCAACCCACCGTGGTTCCCAACCATAAATGTTATAAACAAAAACCTAAAATGGTGATCCAAATGCCACCGTTACAGACCTATCTGGCTCTGCCCTATCTTCTATTGAACCTACCTACCACAACGGCAAACTGATAGTAAGGAGACAGACATGCTTACCAGCGTTCCTTTCAAGCGAACTAAAGGCCATAGTAAAATGTTCAAAGTGAATCAGTAGTTAAATGATTTAAAATAGAAAAACAAGTCAAAGGATATATATTCCAAAAGAAACAAGATATCTCTCATGTACTAAGCAGATTATAAAGCCTGAAATCAAATGCACTGCAAAAATTTTAAAACTGGATCATGGCTCTACGGTTGTCACCTGTTGCCAGTCCCCATCAACAGCTTCCTTCCACAAACTCACATTGTTGTTCCCATCAGCCACGGCCAAGATGTTTCCAGTCAAAGACCATGAGACCCTCCAGACAGGAGTTTTGAAGTCATTCAATATCTTACCTTCCCATTGATCCCCTTCTCTGGCAACCGTCCATATAATAACTTTTCCATCCTGAGAAGCACTTGCAATAGTAGATTTCGGTAGTCCAAGATTAGGCGCCCATGCAACATCCCTAACCCAATCAGTGTGCATTTGAAGTGCAGGGAAACAGTCCATCTTCCAAACTCCATTATATGGTTTCCAAACCTTCACAGTATTATCACAACCACCAGAGCAAAGCTTTAGTACAGGATCAACCAAGCCAGAACCAACAAGAGCACCGGGTGCAGTCGAAGGGGCCCATGAAACTGAAGTAACACCTAGTGGGTGAGCTTGGTCGATCCTCGATGTATCCCAACCACCATCCTGCCTTGCGGTGAATACTGAGATATTCCCATCAGACGAACCACACGCCAAACATAGACCCAATTCGTGAGGAGCCCAAGCGATAGAATTAACCGATGATTTGTGATCATCAAAAACATGAGCTTGAGTCCATTCATTCTGATTGCCTTCCTTCCATATAATCACACGTCCATCATAAGAACACGAAGCCAATAACGACCCGAATTTTGGGTGCGCCCAAGCAGCCTGCCAAACTGGTCCTTGGTGACCAGTAAGCGTGGCTAGATGCTGAGAAGCTGAGTTGCTGACTCCAATTATCTTAATGGTCTGATCGGATGAAGCTGTTGCAAGGCGCTTGCCATAATAATCCATCGCCACATCATGAACGGTATCCTGATGACCACTTTCAATCTTCTGTGCAGGCATTTCTCTAATACTGATATGTCCAACTCTTCAGACAAGCAAACAACCAGAATCGATTGGATCCTCCCTCTAACTAACCCTCGGAGCAAAATACAATTCTTACTACACCGTCTTCAGTCTATCAGATTGCTACGGTGAAAAAAAATCTGGAAATCAAAAACATAAAAGAAATTCAAAGCGGAATGAGAGAATTTCGAATCAACCATTGTCAATCGGTACATATTTTGCAGGTAATATTCGAGTCTCGCGAAATTTATAGATCTTAATTCTGAGTTTCAGAGTGACGTCATAAGAAATAGATCGATCATGTCAATCAATTGCCAAGAAAAAAAACACAATACATCAAGAGAAATCCCCACAAAGAAACAAATCTCAGCGATTACGGAAATATCGAAGATAAATTTATGGATCGGAAGACAAGACCCAAAACCCTAGAACACAAATTGAAAGCTTCCCAGTGGGCAGAAGAGAAAAGAGCGAACCTCGGAGGCGGAGTCGACGCAACTTTTAGGGAGCAGAGATCGCTCTCTTCATCTGCAATTAACGAGGAAACGAGAAAATGAATCGGAAGGATTCAAACATGTCCGGAAGAACAATAAACAAAAGGAAATGAAATGAGGAGGATGGGCGATTCTCATCTTCCCGAAGCCCGCCCCGCCAAGAGTTCTTGTAATTGGGCCATTATTGGGCCTAAATAGTGGATCGACTAATGGACCCATTCGATCAAAAGGGGCATATTGTGTTTAGGGCCCATGAACTTGGATTATTTTCATAAATATATCCTAAGTGTTTTTCACTTTAATCTAATAATTCCAATTTAGTATCCCGTACTTTAACATTTTTTAATTATACACTTACTATTGGTGGTAGATGTTAAAATTAACTATGCCGCTCAGTAATTTGACAAAAAAAAATTAAGAAAAAATCAAACCACATCAAATAATACAAGTTAGATTTTCTTTCGACTTTCAAGAAATTTGGAGGAGTGATTATTAATTTTTAAATGTGGCAATGCGGAGGATAAAACTGTACTATAAAATAAAGCTACTTTTATGTTTCCCTAGTATTTGTATTTTTTTAATTAAGTCCCCAACATTAAAAGGTATCCATTTAATCTCTAATATTTAAAAAATGTTCGATTATATTATTTTGTCGATAAATATTAAATTTTGTTGATTATAAGTTTATAGGATAAGATGGTCGTCTAATTGAATAAGAGTCAAAAATTTATATCCAATTCTAAAAAAATAAGAGGAATAATTAGAACCTTTTATCTCGCACAGACAAATTTATTATTATTCAATTTTAACATTTATCTAAAAAAACTAGTAAAATAAAAAAAAAAGTAAAACATTAAAGATTAAACCGTAAGTTTTGAAACATTTGAGAAAATACCAAAGTAAATAATTGACCTCCGACGATAACAGCGTCAACGTTAGTCCACCGCCGCCTGGAAAATGGCCACCCCGACGAACATGATTGGTGGCACGTCAGCATCCAGCTCAGCAAAGGCCACAACACATTCTCGAAGTCATCTCCCCGGAGGTGGACCCCACGGATATCTTGTCAGGTCATGCCTGTCCACGCCCCCACTATCACCTCACACCCTGGCTGGGTCCCACTCAAATTCGCATGTCACGTGGCGTGCACATGCATGGATTATTGGCATGACATGGCCATGGCCATTTGCCATCGAACATTAAATATGGGCCGTCAAAAACTCTTCGCATTTCTTACCTCAGTTGTCAGCGTGATGGACAGCTCCAATTATTGCGCCTCCATATTTATAGATACACATGCCTGTATCTGATCATCATCTCATTTATCATCAACGGCTGCCTCCTAATTATATTAAAATACGTGAAATTTTGTTAATCTAAGTTTAAAATATATTCACGCACTTGATTATTCTATTTCAATTAATTGATACATTTAACTTAAATATGCCATTCTGTAGGAATTACAATTTTATCGCTAACGTTCAACCAAGAAATAAAAACAATCAAATAAAACTAAACTGGTGCAAGTACGAAACAACAAAAACAACCCAAATTTTTACGTGATAGTGTTAGACAAGTCTTTTTTGTAGAAACAAGATTATACGCTAACATGCCTATCACTCTATTGATATCAACAATGTCGTTGCAAAATCTTCCTTTGAGATAGTTGTAGGTTAGATCGCGTGCAATAAGTCTCATACCTGATAACTTATCAGGTTTTGACGAGGTGTAGTAACTCACTTCAACAATAAAATCTAATAGAATCGTAAAGGATTAACTTGCCCCAATCATTAAGACAACCTCCGCTGGTGTATCCCAATGTTAGAAAAGTCGTTATTGTCATATTTTTTAAAATAAGACATGCCTAATACTTCCTTGTAAGACAAACAATTCAATCTCTAGCTTAATACCATACAAACTCGAGTTTGACTTAAGCATTAAAGTGTGATAGACAACATTGCACCCGTGTGCAACATTTTTTGTACATGCTATTCGCTTCAAGTCATAAATGTAGACAAGCTGCCTCATACCGCACCTCTCAGCTCATTCTCTCAAACCAACTCGTGGATGAATGATTCAAGTTGCACACGTTCAAATTACTACATCACAATACTTTACGAGCTTGGTCGATAATTAAGCATATTAACTATACATTGGTGATTACATACAAAATTTACAACTTGTTTAGTTAAACTATTAAAAATGGATACATCACAGGACAATGCCTACCAGCCAACCCCTTGAACGCCCCCTACATCCACACGCGTTACATCAAACCCACCATCCAATCCCAAATCACAAGTACTATTCTGCCAACTATAATTTTAATAATCATGGCTCTCAATTAATTTATTACTCTTATTTTATCACTAATTTAATTATTTTGCTTGGAACCCATTTCATACGAGTTTAATTTTAGTGTAAAATTATAATTTAATTGGTATAACTGTAACGCAATAATTTTCCATATAAAGATAAAATTTATCGTATTAAACAAACAAATCAAAAAGACGTGTCAGACATTAGACTTCATATAGAAATTTATCAATATAAAGGTAACAGCAATGCAAAAATATTTTTTATTAAATTTCTTTAAAAATCAATTTTTGTAAATTACTAACTGTATCCAATAGTCCAACTTAATTGGATTGCAAATTTCACAAATTACACCTAAACTAAGAATTTGATATAATTAAACTGCCCAACCATGTAATTATTATAGCTTAAACTAAATTTTTTATTCTATAAAACTTGAAAACTATTGTATTAACCTTAAAAATATTACCTTAAATATATTAATTATAAGTTATAACATAACTCGAATTAGATATGTAATTTTAACATTCAACCAAATTTAAGAAAATACAAAAATATTTCTCCACCAAAATAGAACAAAATTAGAAAATTCGACATGAAACCAACCCATTACTTTTGCCAGGACAGTTGATTCAGTTTTAAAAAAAAATCAATTTCAACGTTAATATTTTATTTTATTAATTTGATAGGTAGATTTAACGATAGTTGTGGCCATAAAATAATATGATTCGACCCATTTACACTATACCTAACAAATAAATTTATCCTAATTAAGACTGTAGTTATTACACTTTAGATAATATTTTAATGATTATTATAGTTTTAAAGATTTTATAGTATCATTTTTTTTATATGACCAATTCTTATAGTTGAGTAGGGTGATGTGTGCAATTTGCAATCTATCACTAATGATGTTATAATGATTAAATTTAATTTCTTGGTTTATGGAGAATATCATAAATTGTGAGGGTGGAAGGAGAACTGGATCAATCCAACATGTTAAGAGACCTCAAATTCGATAGCTCATAAGATTGCTCGGTTTAGAATGGAAGAGGGGTAGAGATGGAGTGGTATTCAGATCTCCCGCTTTGATTATTGAGTCTTGTAGATTCTGATTTTTCTTAGTTTTGATTCGTTCTATGCATTAATTAGAAAAAAATGATTAAATTTAATTGAAATAAGTTTTGTAAATATAGAGGGGTGATTGATTGAATTAAAATAAATGAGTGTGACAATATTGAAATAGCCCAAATAATATAAACCAAATGAAACAAATTTAAAACCATAAAGACTAAAACTAAAACTAAATTGTGAGAATTGAATCGATAATTTAACCAATAATGTTTGTAATGTAAAAGTCCTAGATTATGAGGAAACATCTAAAAGTGCAAAAAATTCACATAAAAATATAGAATTTAGCTAATTTGAACATAATTTAATATGTAAAATATTTATTGTCATTTCTAAAGTTGATTATTCAATTCTATCTATTTTAGCCATTGAACTAAACAAATGATTTTGGTTCTTGCATTTTTCAGCTCATTTTAGTTACCGTAATTGTAAAATATTAATTTTGGTTATTGTACTTTCAACTTTTATTCATCTTAGTATTTATACTTTCACAATGTTCGTTTTGATAATATACTTAAAAAAAAGATCATTTTAACCCATAATTTCAAAATTTCAACACAACTTCTACACATAAGAAAAACTCTTTAATATAAATTAATTGTTACGTTTCAATAGACAAATCTCTTTTAAAAAATATATATAGATTAAAATAAATCAAAATTGAAAATTTAAGGATCGAGCAAAAATTAAAATTACCCGGACGAGAGAGAAAGTAGTGTTTAAAGTTTAAACGCATAGATAAAAACCAAACCAAGGCGCCTAATTTGTTTTTACCAACAGGTAAAAAAAAGGGAAATGAAAAAAGAGAAAACTCGATTAAAGACAAAGGAGAGAAATGGTATTTTCGCATCATCCATTATTATGTCGCATGTCATATCAAGTCATGTCATGTATGCGGTTATGTTATGTACATACGGCATCAGCAGTATGATGGCGACGACATCACATTGTAAAAAAAATAAAGTAGAAATTGTAATGTTACTAAAATTATCCAAATTAAAAAAATAAATAAATAAAAAAAACTCAGTAATTTAAAATAAAATAATAAAAAAAGGATTTGAAAACCGAGACGCATGCAAGAGACCTCATCATGGTGTCCTCTGAGCCCCACGCAAGCCTCCCCCCTCTCCTCGCCTCGCCTTTTGTATTTTTCAAGCATCCCTCTTCGCGCCTCCCCTTTTCTCAATGCCCCAAATCTTTCCCTTTTTTACGTTTTTGCCACTCCAATTATAGAATGTTCAAGTTTCAAGTTAAGTTTTTTGATTTTTGAAAGTGTATAGTCAATTATTGAAATTTTAAGTTTGTTTTTGATAAATCAAATTTACAGATCTCTTAGACATAAAATTTAACTTTGCATAAAATAAGATGGTATTGAATTGCAACAAAATGTAGAATAGTATTGTTAAAAAATTACTGTACTTAATTTAAAGTCACAGATTTGAGTATTTTGTTGGTTGGATTCCATACTATTTATTAGTTGGTTTTTTAGTATTTTTTCCATTTAGTTTGGGGAAGATATTAATTCTCTAATTGAGTGGTCGTGGATTTTTTTTTTCTAAGTTAGCATGAAGGAGATATTGATTGTAAAATTTAGGTCAAAATATTATTTTGGTTTATGTAATTTTAGCTTTGGTTCATTTTGGTAGGTGTATTTTCAATTTTTGGTCATGTAATTTCAAAATGTTCATTTTTGTTAATG